ACATGGCCCAGCGGGCGACAGGCAACCACAGATAATCATTTTTGCTGAACGAACACGAACAGCGAGTAGACATACACGGCCTTGGATCAGTGTCTCATGTGACGTCATGACCAGCGTAATCAGGGAAGAAGGTGGTAGAACGCCCATGCTTTGAAGGGAAACTAAGCAAAGCTCGCTTATCTTGGCACGCAAAGAGTAAGTAATTTTTGCCACAACCTGATTCATTTGAATTTGGCTTTCCACGGTGAGAGGATAAAGACCTAGCATGATACCTAAACAAACCATATTTTTCTTCACTTTTTGAAACGTTTACAAATGGCCAAATGGGCGTCCTCTTACCCATGGTAGGGTAGACCGGGGCAAGTCGCCCCGCCGAGGTAAAACGCCTCACCGATGTTTCTCGGAACTGGCAAGGTTCTGGGGAAACATCCTCTATTCAATAAAACGTGCACTATATGATCATTATCTGAGCAGACTGGAAAGAAATTGTGATAGCTCTTTAGGAATATATAGCCAAAAATGTGTTTTTAGAGTGATTTTTATGTTTTGTTGTCTGATTATTAATCATGGCGTTCTTTTGTGGTCCACATCAGGTTAACGACTTTTATGTATTTTGAACAATTATTGTCTAACGCTTATAATGCCGGGTTGGTTCATGTTAAATTATGTCTTGCTGGAGCGCAAGGCGTTGTTCTCTGACCGAACTACGTAATGGGGTAAAACGCCCCAGAAGGTCGCGGGGCAAAACGCCCCATGGGGCGTTTTACCTCACGTGTTGTTCGGACTACCCACTTCCTAATGTTCGGTAGCTGGCGAACGGTGAGTTCTTATGCATTTATATGCATTTTTCTCAGCAACTGGATGGCAAAGAAAGTATTTGGTTAACATTTGCATTGCAATAATGTATTATTTGGCCTTATGAGGCAGGTGAAAAACCTGCTCATACAATAGCGTCATAACTGAACACCTGATAGGATAGGTGCTAACTTCAGTGCCGTGCCTCCAGAGGTCTAACGAACCTCTCATATAAGATTTATTCAACTACCATGTTAAATCTTTAATTTAGAGTATGGGGCTTCTTGCCCCAGGCCGTGGGGCGTTTTGCCCTGGGGTTGGGGCAAAATGCCCCATTTGCAGTTGTTTTAGAAATCACTTCCTAGCTGGGAGTCCGATCATAAGTAAATGAATTTGAGGGGTAGAATTTAAAGTAAAATGTCCAAAGAACGCATTGAGCACAAATTTGACCTTCCAGATGATGTGGGACAAGAGATATGTAGCAAAATAAATTATCTGGGGCGTCTTGCCCCAGGCTACCCTACTGGGAAAATTAAAACGCCAAGGCACAAAGGGTGGGTAAACGACCTACATGATTCACTGCTGTTCGATTGAATTAAGCCATAGACAGTTGAAACAGTGTATGAAGTCCTCATACGGACAAAAATGACACGTCAAACTCGTCAAACTCAACCAAGTCAAAATCAAATGTCGTTCATAACTCCGCATTACCAGCATATGCATCTTCTCAAGACCTGAAGAAGTCACCAGTGTATGACATTTACGTATGACCAGTAGCGGCGGAACACCTTCAATTAACCCGCGCGGGGCTGGGGTCTCCAGCCGAACGCGCGGGGCTGGGGGGGGGGGGGTAAATTTTACCCCCCCTGTTATCTCCCGAACTAATGGTCCGATTTGGAAAATTCAAACGCCAATCGAAAGCTCTCATCACGAACTACTAAAAACATGTACTTAATTTAAAGTTTGAGGTCAAGGTCAAGGTCAGGTCAAGGGTACAAATTGCAAGTTTCTACAGTATCGGCCTTGCACCGTAGTTGCCGAAGAATGGAGTCATGGACTGAGACTGATCGCCCAAAACGTGTTCTTAGGCTACCAAGACAATATTCGTTGCATACAATATCATTCAGAGGTCAAGGTCAAGGTCAGGTCAGGTCAGGTCAGGTCACCAAAAAACAAGATATAGAAAAGGGCATGTGCGACACATGTTTTATGGGTCATTTTACTCATAGAATTCAATAGGCACACTCAATAAGTGATATGGACCACCTCTGGATGAATTTCAGGTCGAGGTCAGGTCAAGGTCAGGTCAAGTGAGGTCAAATTTTGAAGTTGGTTGTTAAGGCCTAAAAAGGTGTCTATCTGATGCAGTTTTTCACGGCGAATCGAATGGTGCTATTTTTGTTTCCGTACGAGGTCTAGAACTTCCAAAAAAGTCATTTTTCAAAAATTTTGTGTGTCGTGACGTCATAAAATTTTGAATAACTCCCACATTTTTGAACCGATTCTTCTAAAATTTGGTATGTAGGTGCACATAGACCACTTCTCTGACATATATTCCGGTTTTTTTGATAGACTCAAAATTTTGGATTTTATAATGATTTTCCCAAAAAAATCAGTTTTTTGAAAAAATTTAGGCCAAAATCCAAAATTTTCAAAAAACCGAGATAGCCATTTGATAGACAAAGTAAAATTACGTATAACCTTTTTTGTTACGTCTTGATTCCTTTAAAAATGAAGATGTTAGCGGCGTTTGAACTTTTGCCGTTTTTGAGGCGAAAATGGCGAACATGACGTCACTAAAACGTCAATTTCTCAAAAATTTTCCGACGGATTTCGCTCAAATTTTCAGGGAACGTGTCAAATTGATGTAAGAAAAGGTACTGAAAGTTTGGCGGCGCTGCGCGCCGCCGTTTTTGAGATATCGCAAAAATTCGCGAGGGGGGGGTAAAATTTACCCCCCCCCAGCCCCGCGCGGGTTAACCCTCGCCCGTAAACGGCGATCTGCCACCTTCGCCCATGCAGGGGGGGGGGGTTGGTGCAACCCCCCCCCTTGGCGTTTGAAAACGGAGCGTCGTAGAGCTTAGCGGAAAAGACCAACGGATTGCTCTCGCCGAGATCTCGCGATTGGTGGTATATTTTTTGGTCCTAGGTCAACATTTGACCTACTTTTGACCGGTCAAAGGTCAAATTTTCGGAAAAATAGACTTTTTTCAACTTTCGGCGGCGATTGCGGCAAAACGGTAGGAGATATCGACTTGAAACCTTCACTATCGTGTTCCTTGATCAATTCTCTATCGTTTGGTATGTATTTCGTTTCCCTAGCTCTAAAAATGGCGCGTTGGGAGCGCCGGAAGTCGGCAAGGTCACAGTCGGCGGCAGAAATTCGAAAAATCAAAATTTAAATTTTTGAAATCTGATTGTATTTTTGGATTTGGGAGGTCCATTTGATCCCTATAGAAGCTAATATTGCTGCATATTCCCATTGAGGTGACAAGAATTAGCAAAATAGTGGTTCGGGCGCTTTTCAAAAATAGTACCGGACGCTGTTCCTCTTGTGACGTCATAGCTCCGTGACCTGACCTGACCCGGTCAAGTTTCTTATACCATATGATAGCCAATACTTGCCCCAACATGCATGGGAAGTTTCATCACGATCCATCAACCGATCTCCGTACCACCGGCAGGAAACCTCGGGCGTTGGCACTCAGTTTGTGAAAATCCGGCCGGAGGCTGTTCCCTTTGTGACGTCATAACTCCGTGACCTGACATGACCCGGTCAAATTTGTTTTATCACAAGATGCGCAAGGTTTGCCCCATAAGGTACCCAAAATTTGGCGGCGCTGCGCGCCGCCGTTTTTGCACTATTTCCGAAAAACCTCAGGGGGGGGGGTTGCACCAACCCCCCCTACATGGGCGAGGGTTAAGGGGGCGGGGGGGGGGGCACTGCCGACTTTTGGTCCCATTCTTTCCATGCAACGCCCATAGGGCTAATATTAAAATGCTAAAATCCATTAGCGTCGCCACGGGGGGGGCAAGCGGGGCAGCTTGCCCCCCCCCCCCCCAACCTCGGACCGGGCACCCCCTGAGATCGATACAGATCCGATGAGATTTTGGAGTCGGGAAAAAATGGGGGTACCTTTCTGAGAATGCCTGTGAGGTCAGACTCGTTCAAGCCAGAGTCGGAGTCGCAGTCGCCAACATCGTCAAAACACCGACTCCAGACTCGGAAGTGTCAATACTGTGATTCATTTCATGTTCCTCGTTGATTTTTTATTACATTTTATAGCTGATTTTCATTAAGTTTTGAAGTGCTGATACAAAATTTGTGTTCAAAGCGTGACACTGAATCTTCGGGCCTTTCTCAACTCTCGTCAAATGTCTGCGACAGACTCAAGTACCGTTCAAGTGCCACAGGGTTCATGACTGCTTGCTTTTCACACAGGCTCCGAAGGAGCTCCACTGTGCTCTAAGAAGCCTTCAGAGGGCCCAAACCGGCCTCTGAGAGTCCCACTGGTGTTCATATTCTCTGAGGGCCCATACAGGAATCTTTGAGGACCTTACACATGCGTAGACCTCTGAAGGGCCACACGGATCTTTGAGGATACTTTCAAATATTTCTGAGAACCTTAGCCCTCCGATAGCTCAGCCGAGCTTTTGAGGCGACAGATTTTGCTGAGCCTAAGCCTGCAGTTTAGGGGTCACGACTCGGGTGTGCCTCCGAGGGTCCCAGCACATGTTTCTTATGTCCCTATGTAGGGTCCTTAGGGATTCGACACAGACCTCCAGGGTTCACACTGCTATTTGAGGGCTCCCTGCTCACCCTGGGCCTGGTCTCTTAGCGCCCGCCGCCGGAGCCGCCCACACTGGCTTCTGAGGGTCCCACCTTGGGCTCGGAAAGCCCTAAAGCACCACATATGTACACGTAACTATTTGGGGTGACCAGCGCCGATTTTCAGGATCCTAAGCAGGCTTCTGAGAGCCCACACTGACCCTGAGTGGCCTAAAATGGCCTGGAAGTCCCAAGCCTATCGCTAAAGGATCCCTTGCCGCTATGCCGTGCGAAATTTTGGTTCCGTTAGACGTCTTTTCTTCGCGTTTGCAGCGCTTCCCTACACACGAAAAACGAGAAACTTTTTGTTCACACTACACCTCCTCTCACTGGAGCAAAGATGAATTACTTCCGATTCACACTTCCGACATTCACTCTCCGCTGAAAGCCCTACTTAGCTTCAATCGGCGGCTGGGATAAGCCCTATGCATTTTACGTAGAACCATAGACCTCTGTACACCCGTGCATGCAGGTAGAACCTCTGCATGCATGCGTGAATGAAAGTTTCAGCAAGGTGATTCGCTTAAGCTGAGCGTTTAACCTTTTTATGATCATGAGCGACGAGCGTCTGCACAGGGGCTCTCCAGAGTGCGTCGGCAAGCGCAGCCATTGTGATTCTACCGGTCGTTTTTTGTTCAAAAATTTTAAAAAATTAAATTTTCTGTAAAAAAAAATGGCAAGTCAGCCAGAAAAAAATGAATTGTTTGTGTCAAAAAACAAAGAGCCGGCGCTTGAAAATACCAACAAGTATCGCAGATATCGCAATTTACTTGTGAAAATAATAAGAGAGGCAAAGAAAGCATATATTGAAGCTAAACTTAAAACATCGGACTCTAAGAACACGTGGAATATCATCAAAGAATTGTCCACGGGCTCCACCGAAAACATTAAATTGCCTAATGCGTTCAAAACCAACAGAGGCGTAGTGCAAGACACTAAAGACATAGTTGATAAGTTTAACACATTTTTCACGAACATTGGAAAGGAGCTGAAAAGTAAAATAAGAGATACTGAATGCAACCCAATTGATAACCTCCCTAACTTTGTGGGAATACCACTTCATCGATTCTCTGCCACGAACGAAGATGAAGTAAAGAAGATCGTAAACAGTATGCGTAATGTGGGAAGTGGCCATGACAACATTAATACTAAGATATTTAAATTAACGTATGCATCAATACTTACTGAGATTGTACACTTCATGAATCTCTGCCTTGATCAAGGTGTGTTCCCCACTCTATTAAAAAGAGCTGTTGTAAAACCAATCTTTAAGTCTGGGGATAAACAGTTATTCAACAATTACCGACCAATTTCGCTACTCCCGGTTATCTCGAAATTATTAGAAAAAGTGATTTATGCTCGATTAGGTGAACATTTGACTCAAAATAACATCATTTGCGACAATCAATTTGGTTTTAGGCAAGGTATGAGTACCTACATGCCTATCGTAATTCTCCAAGAAAAAATTGTAAGTGCTCTTGAAAACAACCAAAGCACATGTGGAATCTACCTTGACCTCCGCAAGGCATTCGATACGGTGGATATCGAAATATTACTGTGCAAACTGTATAAATATGGTGTATGCAATGAAGCGCATATGTTGTTAAAATCATACCTAAATGAACGCACTCAATGTGTACAAATTGATGATACTCAATCATCTATTCTTCCGATAAACATCGGAGTACCACAGGGATCTATTCTAGGTCCACTTCTTTTTATATTGTACATAAATGATTTTATCTCCATATGTGATGACCACATATCTGTACTTTTATATGCGGATGATACTGCCATTTTTATAGAAGGTGAAAATGAAAACGTACTTCAAGCCAGATTAAATATACTAATGCCTAAAGTTGCTGAATGGTTCGCTTCTAACCAGTTGTCCTTAAATTCTGATAAATCGTATTATCAGATATATGCTAATAAGCGAACAGATTTCGAACTATCAATTCAAATTGATGGTGCTGGAATTGCTCGTGCTAATACCGTTAAATACCTTGGTGTATTTATTGATGAAAATCTTAAGTGGAAATCACATATAGCCAAACTTCAAACCATATTGTCAAGGAACATCGGAATCATGAATAGGCTGAAGTACCTCTTGAGCTCAAAACACCTTTTGTTGTTGTATCATTCTCTTTTCTTGAGTTATATTAACTACTGTTGCTTTATTTACACAAATACATATCCAACTAATCTGAGTGAATTAGAAAAACTTCAAAAACGAGCGGTAAGAATTATCGATGGACAGCCGAGACTGGCACATACTTCGCCAATATTTAGGAAACTCAAACTCCTTAAACTTAGGGATCTTGGACAACAACAAATGCTATTACTACTGTTTAGAAAACTCAATGGAAGCCTGCCTACTGCTATTGCTGAGTTATTTGTAACCTCTGAATCTAGTAGAACAATTCGCTCCATTAAACATTTCCAAGAATCATTTACATATAGAGTCTATAAAACACACACTTTATCATGGACTGGGCCTAGAGTTTGGAACAGAGTAATGGTGCCTTATTTCCTAGACTATCTACGGTACCCAATTCGAAATTCATTATCAAAAAGCTCTCTAAAGCTTTCTTCCTAAGTCAGTATGATTGATTCACTTAATACAGTAGCTTTCATCAATATACGCTTCTAGCAAATAAATAGTACGCATGTTTTTATGCACATTATTTAGGGATTCATTTTCTCCAACAAATGATTTGCCTAAAATAGACAGGTGGTGCGGACAGTAGACGGCAGATGTGGTCTGCTGTGGGGCCAGGCGGGCTCCGCCGGCCTGGCGGAGCCCTGAGTTGCCGAGCATTGGGCCCCCGCCCCTATGACCCATCCGGGCCAACCTGGGTACCGGTCCCACTTGAAAGAGACCGGTCGGCCGCCCGGGCGGGAGGGGTGCCGGCCTGTCGGGTCGGGTCGGCGCTCCCCTCGCCCGGGCGGTGGTTAGGGGGCACCCCCGGGAAAGATGATTTTCCGGGGGTGCGGGCGGGGGCTCGCGGCCCGTCTGGCCGTCAAACATTAAAACCACGTTTATTGTAGGGTAGTAGTTCTCTTGTCCGTCTTTCCTTCCCAACTGCATTCCTTCTCCGTTTTTTTTCTCTCGTTGATGTTACCTCTCATTTTCGTTATATTGCTTAAATTGCATTAATTTTCTACTCCAACCACCTCGGAACTGGCCTCTGTGGGCTGTCTGACAACAAGCTCTGCTTAGTTGGACAGCTTTACAGAGGCTCAGTGAATGACCTTGCTTTAATTTGACCAGAAATGACCATCTACGACCATCTTCCATGTATGTATGAATGCTCCCCCTCTAATCCCTTCCTCCCACTAACAATACCCTGTGTAAGTGTGCATCAGTGGGCGTTCCAGGCGTAGAAGGGCAGTCACCAACTGTTTTCAGTTGTGACTACTTTGCTTCTCTTAAGCTACTATATTAACAGCATGCATACTCCACTGATATTTCTCTCGTTTTTTGCATTTTTTTGTTTTTTTTTTTTCCTTACTCTTAGCTGGGAGTGCCGCGACTTATCATTTTAAGTTCACTGGTGTTAACGTAAGGTTCTGTGTGTCGCTGGGATAGAGGGAGGGGGCACTCCTGGTCACCTGTTCATGGGTGGCGGTGTAGAAAAAAAAGTCATAGCTACAAGGAAAACCTTGTCACCATCGTATTCCTCGCACCATTGCGCGTTGAATGATATGGGAGAGCGGGGTCAAATGTAACACGGGGCAATTGTAACAGTGTTAATAATTCATAAACTTACCAATAGAATGAGCTGATGTTCAGACCGAAAATGCGTAATTCTATACTGCCTTTCCCAAGGGAGTTTGAAGCGAAAGTGCCGGGTATGTCGATGGCTGTGCACAGTAATGTGTTTTTGAGAGCATTTTGTAGATTTTTATGCCGTTATATTTGATTAGCTCATTCCCGCCATTGAAAAGATATCGACTTCAGACTTTGTGTAAGCGTTGGCAGGCTTGTTGTCGATAAATTGAAAGCATTAAATGCTGCCTACATGCAACATCTTTTTGCGCCAGTTTCGTCTAAAATATGTCAAGGCGCGACGGGGACAATTGTAACATTTTTGCAGGGGTCAAATGTAACAGGTTATAGGTCAGTGGCCATTATGTCAAAGTCGTCAAATTTTCAAGGGAGATGAAACATTGCTAGAATTAAGAGAACTGTGAGTTTTGTCGCAATCGGCAGCTTTTTACGCGATTTATTTGCGAAAAACCAAGGGAGAGGAGGTCCATCCAACCCCTGTATAAGTGCGAGGTTTTATTGCCTTCTTCCTGAGAAGAACCGTCTCTACCAAGTCTAGGAAGATGAACAAGTGTTCAATACTTTTGTTAAATCAAAGTTTTGGAAAAAAATGTGTTGCTGTAGCCTGTTAGTTAACATGTTACAATTGTCCCCGGATGGTGATGGTGTTTGACCCCGTATCTGGGGCGAATTGTAACAGCTGAATTGACTTTTTCGAACAACAATTTTGACCCGAAAAAGAAGCTATTTCGGAACTGTTTTAACTGCATTTTAAAGACAAAACATCATAGTTTCTGAAAATAAAAGAAAGAGCTTTATAGCTGCAAACGTGTTTGCACCAGATGATAAAATGCAAAAAAATGTTACAATTGACCCCGTTCTCCCCTAAAATGAATGAGTAACGACTGGAGGAAGGCAAGATTTAACACAAAAGTTGATTTTGCCCCCCCAACCGAAAATCTCTGGCGACGCCTATGCTAAAATCAAAGGGGGGCACGGTGCCCCGGTGCCCTCCCCGTTCCGCCGTCTATGCTTATGACAGTTGTTAGGGCCGATGGTGACACAACAAAGACATGCCTGTACAATGTACATGATGCATGTGGATCAGCATCGTGCCCCTCGAGATTTCAAAGTAATTTTTATCGATTCATTTCATTAAGTTGGGGATTTGATGTCTTTCGCAAAGTGCATGTTATGCAAAAATATAAATAAAACGTATTCTCGCAAAAATAGACGCATATGGGACTTTTAAAGACTAAATGAGCTGTACTTGGGTGGGACTCCTCAGAGACTATGAGCTGCAGTTGGGTAGGACTCCTCAGAGACTATATGCGGTGGGACTCCTCAGAGACTAGGTACATATATGAGTTGAAGTTGGGTGGGACTCCTCAGAGACTTTATGAGCTGCAGTTGGGTACCTCAAGAGTCAAGAGTATGACCGCGCGCGGAGATAGCTAAGGATAGAGGAGCAGCTATACGAGAAATCAGGCTTCTATAAAAAAAAATGTTGAGTGCAGAGCAGAAAACGGGGTAGCAACCCCCAGTGCAGGCGAGGGTTAACCCGCGACTGGCTGGGGGGGGGGGTCGGATCCGACCCCTCCCCTCCGTTTTTCACGAATAACTCACGAACCGCTTATGCCATCAACTTGAAACTCCGCATGCCTTCTCCTTCATCAATTTGACGGTTTTTGTCTAATTTTATGCAACTTCTTCACCAACTTTTTGAGATATATCTGTCACAGTGCGTCCGCGAAATCCGTGAGTTTGCGAATTTACTAGTTAATCCGCGAAATCCCTAGGGACTCCGCGAACTCACATAAACTCTCGTGAATCCGCGGAATCACTGCCGTGGCTCCGCGGATGCATTAGTTTCCAG